CTTTAGCCAAATCTGTTACGACATCGGGTTGACGAAGCCATTGTTTTTCACAGTTAAATATCGGTCAATGTCGCTTTCGAATCGAATAAAAAATTAACCAGCTACCGTACCGTACCGTACCCTCGCGTTGCGGTTATTATAAGGATAATTCAGCTGAAAACACAAGAAAAATCTTGCGCAACACGACGTGTGCCAACGAACGAGTTCGGGGTCTCGTTAGAGCATTCACAAACAATGTATTATTCGTGTATTTAGGTAAACGTCGAGCAATATAAAGATCGTATTACTTGCATTTGCCTTACCTTACCGATGCGTCAGCGCATACGAATGCAATTGAAATTGATTTAATGAAACTATCGTCGTTGATACGTCAAAGCGTGACTCTACATTCTACATTGTCTACAACTATCGCACGTGGTTTCTCTATTCACCCATTACAGACTGTAGTTTACAGTAATAGTGGGATAGGACGCTGAAAACTGAACGATTTTCATCGTGAAACCGGTTTCCCGGCGAGCAAGCGATAAGCGTACATCGAACCTGGTACATGATAGGGCGTGGGGTTCGACGGCGGCAGCCAATAGGCGGCGCTGATGGGCGGATAGTTGCTGCCCGACCTGGCGCCCTTGCTGCGAGCGCCGGCCGCCTCACCGCGCATCCTTCACAGCACACACACAAACACACGGACACCGGCTCACAAACACATTGCACGTCTGCATTCAACCGCGGCCGCGACAACACTAAACACGTACAATAATGAGCGATAGGTGCGCGTACGCCGACGGACGATCAGTCATTATTCGTGGGCCCGTGTCAACTGTCAACTCGGCTCACCTAGCCCCCCCGGCCCCTCCCACCGCTAATGAACTCCGTCCTGCATCACAACTATGAGTGTCACTTTACCGCAGATACTAAGTACTCGATAGTCGAAAGCGACTTTGAATACATATACAAGTTTCAGTTGTGAAGATCACAGAAGGCTGATATCTAGATAATTCAAAACGATACGAAATAAGTATGTCTACTACATACAGTGGGTGCTTCCCGCTAGATGCGGCAGCACCTGCAACAATTTCGACCCTTCTTACAACTATCGACCTTGATATCGAGTCGATAGCGAGTTAACAAAACTCGTAGTAGCTCTCAGTTCGCGCCACGTTCATATCACCGCATACAGAAGACAATGTGTCTTCAATATTGTTTATACGACAGACGAATAGTGGAATCGGTAATCAACAGTATTGAATCCGACCACAGAGTATTAAGTTTTAACACTATTTCAGACTGGAAGGCTATAGTGACGTAATTGCAAAGCAATTCTAAGTACAAAATGTCTGTTTAAGTGTCCATGTTCTTATGTTTGTGCAATAAAGAGTTTTATTTTTATTATACTTAGATTATGGTAATACAAGCCCTACCTACTAGTAAGAAACCTACCAATATTTATGCAACAATATTAGGTAAATAAAATAGTTTTTAAATTAAAGCGTCAATAGTTTATATAACCAAACTTCTTACAATAAAAGCATACTTATTCGATATTCCAAATTCAAAAATAACACCAAAATCGCGCCGTAACAACAAAAAAGACCTCGCCGTGTTCACACTCGTTATCATAATTAATTACTTCAAAGGTAAATAATTGCACAAAAACGCCGACGCGCGCCCGCGCCGACGCAAGACCCGACGACGCGTGTTTGTTTAAGGCCGGAAGAATGCGTGAGTACCGTACAGTTGGGTACATAGACAAGACCTCATTCTATGTGGCCTTTGACTCTGTGTCTATACCTATATAGTTTTTTTAAGAAAAGCAATTTTTTACGCCACTGAGTATATACAATCCGGTTTTCCATCTAACACTATTTTGTGTCCGTTTTTAAAGATTGGATAAATTAGTCAACATTTAAATTATTATTGGTCTCCATTCCCACATATAACATCCAGTTAAGAGTGATCAGATTGTGGCGGATACACGGCCGATTACGGCAAATGAATGAGTGCTCTATACCGAAAATCTCAAAGAAGACGCATATTGTGTGCAAAGTGCCGTCGCAATGCCGCACAGCTAATAAAACTGATAGCATTAACCTTGAAGCTTAATCACGAAAAGTGTTACTTTTTTGTGTGTGCCTTAATACTCGTATGCTTAGGTAAGTCAAGTAAGTCATAAGTTAACGTGACTAACTCAGCGATCATCCTTGTGTGTATTCCACGAACACAATTTTGATAATTCCTCGGGATTTGAATGCCAGGGCGTTGTAACAAGTAAAAGGTAATCCAAACCAAACAATTGTCCTTCAATATAATTATCAGTAAAAAAAGAGTTCTTCTTTCATGACAGAGGACGATAGACAAACATAGAATTCACTTTATGGATAGTGAAATTACCCAGCCATATAAAACCTAAATACGATGCGCTGTCGGCTTATTTTGAGTGTTGCCTCTACGCCCCCGAGAGGCAAACGACATTTCATTTTTATGAAGCCACGGAGGTATAAATGTACGATCAAGCAAATGCTATCTTTTCGGTGGTTATTTTAAATAACAATTTTTTTTCAAGGCTATGGCTTTTTCGACATCTTTTTTTTTAATTTTACGGGCTACAAGTCTCGAAACTACCTGACGCCCATTAAAACGAGTTATGAAATCTTGGAAAATAAGACTTATGTCCAAATGAATCTGTAAATAGTAGCGTATGCCTGCCCTTTGGTTCGGAATGCACAGACCGAATGTGTATTCACACACGTGCGTCGCAGTAAGCCGATATGACGCGACGGACAATCGATTGCTCACGCCGTTTAGCCACAGATAACTCATAACAACAGAGACTGCTAATATAGTAATAAAAAAACTCGCTTTAAAACACTCAAGTGAATTTCCGTTCCACAGCGAAACACTCGGTCTGTTGCACTGATCGATTTTATTACAAGTAGTGGATCGAACCGCTATACCCTACCAGACCGTAGACAATTTATTTCTTTCCCGGGATTTGAACAAAGAACCACTCGCCTCGGCTAAAGAGCCACGAAGGCTATTTAAACACTCAAAGCTGATTCAAAACTACTCTTCAAGCATTCATATCACACAGCACTTGCGAATTCTTAGGCACATATAGACTTAGCTGTATGTAGATACGGTATATTACAATAAAACAAGACTAAATTTAAGTGTCCGTATCAAAATAATTTATTAAATTCAAATCGTTTATTGTTATAAAATATATTTACAAGCTTATAACTAAATGTGTGCATACAAAATAATAATAATAATATAGTAATAAATATATATAAGAGATGGCAATCGGTACCAGTCTCAGCTATGCTGCTGAATGCTTGTCACACTCAGAAGCGCTGGTTTTCAGACTGGCCCGGGCATAGAAGTAAAGGAGTGTTACACATTAGCACTAATTGAAAATATTGCAACAGTAAAAATATTTTATATAGAGATGCAAAAAACAATGATTAAACTCAATACACAGAATTATGCTAGTGCGAGAGACCCTGTGTTTGAATCTTTTGTTACCTATAATAATTACATGAAAATTAATTTATTCCCAGTACAATGTACAAAATTAGGATATTGATATAGAAAATAATAATAATAATCATAAGAAAATTAACACAATACAAAGAGACATATAAGAGTAAGGCTTACACATATACGGAAACATTTGTAATATATTGGATATAATAATATAAAGAATAGATCAACAAGAGAGAATATAGAGTTCTACGGCAAACTACAGTGTGAATAATACTAAGTGAACATAACTTATTAAAAAATGCAAATAAACTTTATCTAGAAAGTTATAGTCTATGGCCTAGCAGAGCCACCGTGAAACGTAATGTGCAGAGCATTATTTCAAGAGGCGTTAAGGTTAGAGTTTAAATAACTGATTCTTACAATATTTTGCTGTAATTATAACTAGATTACAAACGAAAGAAAACTATTAGCTGAGAGGAAACTTATGTAGATAAGGGGCAGACATATTTTTGTGTCTGTACAACTAGTCGATATTATACAGGCACGTAGTTGATTAGACTTTAGTGTAGATACTGATTGAAATTTTTAATTATGCCTATCCGGGATTCAAGCCCAGGACTTCCATAAGGATTGATCTGTGCCTACATAGTTAAATCATCAATGAAAAAGTCCTGGATTTGAATCCCGCGGAAACTATGGACACAGACATTTTTACTCGCTCCACGCCCCAGAGGGGAAACAGAATTTTACTTTCTTATTGAGCCACGGAGGTGATCTTGCATTTATAATATGCATACATTTCTTTAACCAACATTCACTATACACTACAATGACGATTAAATCAATCAATGATAACTATTCCATCTGGCCCATTTGTCATTCTGCGTACTCGATTGCATAATAATTAGTCAAATTCATTATTAATTACCCTTCTCATGAAACGTCGATACGTGGAAATCGTTTTTTAATTGGGTGACATCAATATATAAATTTAATTAAATCGTTATTTTAAATCCTTATCGATTAAGCTTACGTACAAAGAGAAAAACCAGTTTGTTTATTGTCCTTAGTTTACGCAAGTAGTTGACATTTAATAAAACACTTTTTGATAATGGAATAAGTTAAGCTTATTTTAAATTTATACTAAATTAATATTTTTAGTTTAAAACGGTACACGTTTTAATTATGTAGTTTCGCTTATATTAATTATATATTAAATACAAATAAATATTGAAAACCGAGAATCGTATATGTTGGATCATAGGTGCGTTTGCGGTTTTGGCACTTTGATGAAAATTTGTTTATTAAAACTAAGAGGTATTTTTTAAAAGTAAACGATACGCTTAGAAAACGTAAGCTCTGGTAAGCTTAACAAGATATAACGAATGCAACTGTCATAAGTATGAAACTTTTCAATGAAAGTTCCCCATAATAATACATCTACGTTCTTAGACACAGTTTAGCAGTCTTCATACTAAAATTAGTAATGTGGATTTTTTAATAAATAAAAAACTCACCATTTCTATTTTCGCTGTCAGCTGGCTTCATCTGGATGGGATGGTGCATCTGTAACAAAGAAATATATAATATAAATAAAGATATCTACACTTAACATAGTAGGCATATAAATGTCTCCTTTAATTTTTCACATTGAACCGTTCAAATTTTATCTAATATTTAATAATCAACGGGTCAGTATGTTCGATCCTCACCGAGTCCTACATGTTTTTGAAATCAATACATATTTTCCTGAAACATGTGAGACTTTGACCAAAAAACCTGGACATTGAATGGTTGGTACAGGTATATTGTTTTCCATCCACAAACCATGTCTCACTAGAGAGTTAAATCTGGGCTTTGGTTTTAGTCTGTCAATTTCCGAATATTGAGAGCCAAAAACGCCTACATGCATACATACATAACACGCATCTTGTTGAGATATAGAGAGCTAGGAAAGCCCCATACTTGTGTTTTCTCCTTATTCATAAATAAGAGATAGAGTGAAAACAAACTGATTTCCTAGTTTTTATATATATATTAAACTTAGTATATATACGATATTTAAGTTTCAATGTTAAATAATTTCAACTATGCTCATCGTAAACAAACAAAATATAATATCGATCGGGGCTAGCTTTAATGAATGCTCTCGATAATTATTATTTACACAATGCGCTCAGTGCACAAACATTCGAAACTATTTTAATTATTTGTAAACACGCTCAACAGTCGACGCTACTTCAATTGTTCGGGCGAATAATACCGTCATCGATATACTGTACTAATAAGACTACAACGATAAAGATGTATCCCATATAGAAAGAAGTATAATCTTTCCATAGAAAGTAATTAAAATGTAAAATATAATGCCTTAGAAATAAGTGAGTAGTAAAAATAACTAAGCGAAGGTTACAGTTAAAAACCAAAACGTTTTCCTTGCGAATGATTTTCAGGAAAACAGAACCGCAAAATTTTAACCGGTATTAAAGTGTTAATACCGGTTAAAAACACAAACGGCAATGGTGTTTTTAGAGAAATTTATTTGTTTATTATTTATTTTTTATTTTTTTTTATAATTTATTTGGAGAAACTACGATTAAGATTATATTAAGAAATTCACGCTTCATTTAATTGACCTTTGATGTATGTGTACTAGAACTGGTATTTGAGTATAATATATTTTAGATATAAAGAAAAAAATTATACAACCATTATTTTAATCTATGACCACAGGCTGCTGTTTGCACTCACCTATCGTGTTGGTTGCAAAAATATGTGACAAATCAGATCATTCAAAATAAAACACTCACTCACAGTGTAAGTCATCGTTATCTAGATTTAACTTTGATTTTATCCTTCACCTTCAGTCCCCTAGTAAAGAAAGGTGGTGCAAAGCATAAGCGAGCCGGAGTTAAATTAATAAAATAACAGGTGGTGCAAAGCATAAGAAACGTCGAGCCGTAGTTAAATTAAAAATATCCCCAGAGTTTTACCTGGTATATCTACTAATATACCTAAAAAATATTTAAAAAAATATATTTTTTTTAAGAATAAGATCGCGCTTTCCTCCACAAAATAAAAAAAGATACAAAATCCTCATCTCTAAATTGCATTTATAATTTGCAGTTCCGCTATTCGTGTGTTTGTGTGTTTATTATTTATAAGAACCATTCTTTCTATATAAACAAAATTGTGTAAGTGTGAATGTAACAATAGCCCTTCTGTACATCTATATAATATGTTCGGACTGTAAACCGCTAATAGATGCAGTGACCCAACTCGAGTGTCAATCATGACGCGTCTATTTCCAAATGTCCGCTGAGTGATTGGCGTCGTGTGGCGTCATACGCTACAGCTACTTAATACATAATAATGGACATTTCCTTGACAAAGTTTAGAAGCATTGTTCTAAGTAAAGCTTCTTAGAATTACAGACGGCTAAGAAAACAGGAAGACAACTTATGTTTAACACTGACATTTACAATAGGTATATATACACGTGTTAATAATCCTTATGATGAACAAAGGTCCATAATAAAAGTATGAGAAATGTATTAAAAAAATATAGACAGCCTGAAGAATGTTGTAAATAAATTATAAGTGTGCAGTTTGTTTTGTATATTTGTAAGACGATACTAAAAGCAAACATATCTTCGCAATTTAGCTTCAAATAGACTACTACAGCTGATTTTGTTTTATCAAACTTTTCCAGTTGTCTTTACGTTTGTTTTATAAACCAGAGCTAATGAATTCCAAGTGATATTGTTTGTGTGAATCCTGTGACCCAAATTTTACAGAACACGGGACGAAAACAAAAACAAAATATCTAAAAGTTACCTACAAACATCGACGAAGCACTATTATGGCGAGCGGGTAGAGACTCGACGTAATATTCATGTTTCATCACATTATACTCTTCATTAATTAATTCCATAGAGCGAGCTAGATAATACACAAAGTTACGTAACGCGCTAGTCCGCTTAACAACAGAATCTAATAATCAAAACAATCGCGCAACGCTGGCTTTCAACATCCGAGCCCTTATAAACAAACCCTCTAATTTGATACCGACAAGTTATAAGTTATTTAGGTTCATTAGATTCTGTAGTTTGATGCGAACACGATCGACTGAGCTTTGACTCAAACTTGTATTTTAGCGTTTAGTGGGTTAAAAATCGTCTAAAAACTTAACGTCGCGCTTGTCTTTCTCTGTGGAAAATGTGGCTTGTACACACTATCTCTTTACAACATACATTTAGATTTACAATTCCATCGACTCTGCCAAATCGCCTTGAACGTCTCGTTTTGTTAAGTCTCATTTTTTTTCTGTACAAAATAGTGTTATTTGCAAGCGTTAAAATAACTTACTTTTTCAGTATTTTAAAAATATGTCGTTAACTTTCTCTCCTCAAATAAACAATTGTTTATTCTCAATTCTTTCAGAATTCTGAATAAAACAAAAAATGACGTAATGGCCACAGCTGGCTAACCAAAAATTCATAAACGCCTTTTCAAAACAGGCCTATGGGTGCAAAACTAAGCAGTTAAAACGAAAAAAATGTCCTTTTAAATACAAGTATTATATTATTATATTACACGACTCCACCTTGGTATATTCGTAATATAAATCAACTTAGTTAATATACCCGTCGCAAGATCATTACAGCGTAACACTTGATTCATGAGACCCGCGAATTGCTGGGATCGCGTAAAGCCGAGCCTTCCTTATCTAATTAGGAGCAGATGATCATCAATCACTAAGTCAGCGTGGACAAACACTGTACAAAGTGTACAATTTGTCACGTCACGGTCCAATCAGAGTCGCCTTGGATGCGCCATTACTGAAAGCGAGATGGAGAGCGCTACGTGCGCTAAATCAACGCGGGGACTACACATATTTATCAGCAAAGCGGTAGCTTTCTTATAAGATCTTATTAAAATTATAAAGGCCGCAAAATTACCTTTTGTCCGGGTAAATAATATTATTCAACCATTTAGAGTAAAGTAGAGCGTAATAGAAAAAATTAATACTCGTACATTCAAGTCCACTGAATAAGAAGAGTTAAATACTGTCTGTAGTTTACGCGAGTAGTACACATTTAAATAAAATACTTTAACGGTTTAAAACGCGATATATTTTAGTTGAACTTGTTTGAAAATTATTTTTAACTACGGCCCGACGTTTCGGATGCTTTGAAGCACCCGCGGTCACGGGGAGACATGACTCCCTTTAACTAAAATATATCGCGTTTTAAACCGTTGAAGTGTTTTATTTTAGAAGAAGATTTAAGTTGTCCATGTCCCAAATACAAGAAACAATATTTGTAATACAAGGGGAGTGATAATTTATAAGAAACCAACATTATTATTAAGTAAATATTTAATTTATAGGGCAATAAGTATGATTTCAAAAATAGGTGTTAACCGTTAGCTTTAGCCGTATATTTGACATAGATTTAAATACTTTTGCAAGGAGGCAAAATTTGCATATTTTTTTGGTATAGGTACTTACACTCGTAATAAGGCACTGACGTCGAAACGGAGAAAAAAGTTTTATTTATAGGTGAAATTGTCATACACCAACGTATGTGGGAAGCCCCAAAGATAAAACAGTTGGCTCTTGCAACAGTAACAATCGATATTAAGCTCAACAGACGACTCTCGAGTCGAACAAAGGCGACGCGTGATTAGTAAAACCGTCACGAGCGTGCGGAACTATGAACGTCGGACATGTTCGGAAATGTTAATACTATGTACTAATACGGATCAATGTCGAGAGACCCTTGGGTTGCGCTGGAATTTATGGATGCATTTGAAACTATTATCGACCAATATTAACAAAAGTAATTTAAAATTAGTAAGTAGAAAGTATTAAAAAAAGAAAAGCTTTCAAAGGTTAAGTCCCAGTTCCCTACATAGTCTGGGCAGGACGCACTATGACGACTTCTATGTACAATTCACTAATAGCTTTTTTGCGCAACTGAAATTATTATGGTTTTGGAGATTTTGAAGGGCTAATATTGACTAATTAACTAGGTAAAAATTTTTACTGTTGTTACCAACACTTTCTATGCAATATAGACATTCACAAAATATATTTAATTCAAACAACGCGTCTTGTTTAGAGAATTAAGCTTAAAGCAACGTGTATTGACCAATCAAATATATTTAATTCTTTCACGTTGGAATAAAATAAAACATCTGAAAGACTGAATTGAACCATACTGTAAAAACAGTATCACATTTCACATTACAACGTCAGCACGGTGATAAAAATAAAATATTATGTGTGTCAATTAAAACTAGGGAACGTTCGTTATAGATCGCTATACAAACTAATAAATGGTGTTTTTACTTCTTTACAATTAATTATTAGTTAATTTTTGGACTAAGTAACATTCTATTAATTTACCTTTTTAAATCATTTCTTGGCCTTTTAAACTTTTTAGACAGTACACATGTAGGTATATTTAGTTGACATGTACCAAACATTATATTTAAGATTGATATTAAACTAGGTATTTAAATAAAACACTTAAACGGTTTAAAACGCGATATATTAGTTA